ATATATATATATATATATATATACTAACAACGTCATAGTCCAAACGTGTCAATTAATTTAGATAAATGAATGAAGCTTTAAAGATTAAAAAATTATACTACCTCCGTTAATTGTTCTGTGCAACAAAACTAGAGTTCACGGTTGCCAATGCAAAAGATAAGGGGCAAAGTTTAGGGGGAGTATTAGAAAGTAATTAAAGTAAAGAAGGAGAGAGAAAGTAGGACCCCCCCACTCATTTTACATGGTGGGAAGTCAGTAACAAAAGGAGGGAGGTTTTTTCCCTCTAAAATTTTTACCCAAAAATTCAAAACATTTTAACCACCAAATTTTTGAAATTTCAGAATACTTCACTCCTATATTTCGTCTACTTTTAAGTGGAATAAACAACTGGAATTCATACATTGCAAGGCATATAAAACCAGCATTCAAGCAAGAGAGCATTTAATGTTTACAAAAACACAAGTTCTCCCAAAAAATGACACTGTTCAAGCACTTCCTAAACTGATTTCTTTACAAAAATTTCCCCTAAACTACAGTTAGTGCTGCACATCTTGATCAACAATCCACCTCCATTGACTACGTTTTCAGAAAGGGCAGCTCAGTCTCCCAAAAAAAATCAACAGCCAGCCCTTTTACATGTTCTGGAATCTGCACACACTCAAAGAAAACAGGAAACATGGCAGAAATAGGTGAAGGGTTGTTTTTTTATGTTGATCAGTTTCTAACTGAAGAAGCACTGGCAGAGCTGTATTGTGAGCAACATGAAGCAATGCAAGATGAAGATTTGGAGCACTATGAATCAGAAGATGAGATGATGCAAGAAGAACCAAAAGATACAACCAATCAGCAGCAAGGCACAGAAGCAGATGATGCAAAACAAGACAGCCAACAAGAAACAAACCAAGGGACTCAAGCTGTGAGCAGAAAACAGCTGACTGTGCAACACAGAAGGCAGATTGTTGATGCAATGCTCCTTACAATGCAAGATGGCCAGTTACCCAAGGGTCACAGGAAACAGTTAAGCATCCAATTCAGAGTTCATAAGTCAACAATCACCAGAATATTTATTGACATAAAAAAAACAGACGTCACAAGGGAATATGATTGATGTCAGGACTAAGAAGTTTGGCAGAACTAGTCCAAAGCCCAGGGAATTTTCTGATGAATTCCTACAATCAGTCCCTCTGTATCTTAGGCAGACAGAGAGGAGTTATGCAGCTGTCCTAAAGATTTCTCATGTCACTCTCCATAATTTGAAGAAAAAAGGGAGGCTGAGAACACACACAAGCAGTAACAAACCTGCCCTAACATCATACCACAAGGTTGCTAGACTCAAATGGGTACTGTCACATATAAATCCAGTCACAGCAGATGGGGACCCTACTTTTGTTGACATGAACCATGTCATACACATAGATTATAAATGGTTCTATCTCAATCCTAACAAGAGAAGATTTTATCTCCTTCCAAGTGAGGAAGATCCATATATGGCACAACAGTCAAAAAGATTCAAGCTAAAGGCAATGTTCATGGCTATAATTGGGAAGCCATTGTATGACACAGATGAGGGACTCATCCATGATGGGAAGTATGGCACATTCCCATTCACAGTGAAAGAGTTAGCAAAGAAATCAAGCAAAAACAGACCAGCAGGCACATTGGTAACCAAGGCACTCCAGAATGTGAACAGAGAGGTTATCAGGGAGATGTTGCTCACAAAGGTCATACCAGCAATTCAATCTAAATGGCTAGAGAGTCTGCCAAAAAAGGTCATTATTCAATGGGACAATGCAAGGCCTCACCAAGTGCCTAATGATGAAGAGTTTATTGCAGCCACAACAGCAAATGGGTTCAATATGCAACTTGTCTTTCAACCAGCACAGTCACCTGATTTAAATGTGTTGGATTTAGGCTTATTTAGATCAATTCAGTCTTTGAAATATCAATCTTTCCCTAAGAACCTAGATGAGCTTGTGGAGAAAGTGATTGAGTCTTATAACACATTCGAGCCTCAAGTGAACAAGTACATTTGGGTGACTTTGCAAAGGTGCATGATCAAAATTCTCAAGGCACAAGGAGGAAACAAGTACAAAATACCACACATGAACAAAAAGAAGCTTGAAAATCTGGGCATTCTACTAGAACAAGTATAAGTGAGGAAGGAAGTTGTTGTGGAAGCTGTGAAGTACCTAAACACTATGTTTAGGCCAGCAAGTCAAGGGACTCAGGATGCAATAGAGAATATGGAGGTAGATGCAGACTAGGGGACTCATGAAACCAACCCAAGGAGGATGAAAAACATGGATTGCCACACATAACCACTTAGTTGTTACTATTAGGTTTTCTTTTTTTTTAAATTTCTGTTAATGAATAGGTGGTTAGGTGTATTTTGCTGATTATGATGATGCAACCATGTAAGGCAGTCAATGTAACTTCTCTTGTACCCAAATTCAAATATGGAATGAAAATGAAAATGACTTTTGATGTATGGCCAATTTATCCATCAGAGCAGGTTATCACATTGTTGAATACATCACTTGATACCAAAGTTACCTCAACAACAATCTCAAACAAGAAATTGTTGGAGCAAAACTCTAGTGTAAAGTGGTATTCAATGGAGTCCCTTCATCATTTGGATTAAGACAAAAAAGCACTCAAGTGTATCAAAACACAGATGGGGGACTAACAACTTGAGTGTATCAACACAAAACCAATTGGGACTCCTCATTTTAAACACCACATAGGGACTGACAATGTAGCCCTTACTTACAAACCATACCACAAAGTAGCCTCATCATTCATCAATCACATTCCCCTAATCAAGATGACATATCCAACATTGACTAACCAACAACACCAAGAAAATAACCAACAACCAGCTTACTCAAGAAGGCATAACCAACAAGCCAACAACAATCATAACAAGGAGAGGGAGTATTTATGCCCACAACATAGAGCAAACAACAACAACATTCACAGCATACACATGACCAGAGAACATTGGACTTCCAACATGCCAACAACAATAACCATCACTACCAAACACAACCAAAACAAAACCCAACAATGACCACACTCAGGGAGACAGTACCAACAGGAAACATGGTCTTCCTCATAAGAGCAAACAGGAAACATGGCAGAAAACATAGCAAACAGGAAACAGAGCAAACAGGAAACATGGCAGAAATCATGGTATTCCTCATAAGAATAAGAAAGTACAAATATGCAAGAATAAGAGCAAGAAGCAGACAATGGGCAGCAGGGCACACAAGAATGTGATGCAAACATGGGACTTCCACCACACCAATAGCAGAAGCATGGCAGTAACCAACCATAACCATCACTAACCAACAACACCCAAAAACACCCATCACTAACCAGCAACACCCAAAAAGAGCCATCAATCATCACACTCAGGAAGATAGAAACAAGGCAGCAATAATACTCCACAAGGAGAGGGACTCCTTTTACCCATCACTAACCAACAACACCCAAAAACCACCCACCAGTCAACAAAATCAGGAAGGCAGATCCAACAAGGCAGCAACAATCAATGCAAAAGATGGTCTCCTTATAACCATCACTAACCAACAATACCAAGAACAGCAACAATACCAACAACACCATCAATACCAACAACAGCAACAATACCAACAACGACAATAATACCAATAATACCAACAACATCAACAATACCAACAATACCAACAACAACAACAATTCCAACAATACCAACAATACCAAAAAAAAAAAAAAAACAACATCAGTCAAAAATTCTAAGAACATGGGACTCAAACTCAAAATTAAATAAGTTAGGGTTAGGGTTAGGAATCGTTACGGAAGCAGTCATTTGGAGGATTGAACCCTAGGGTTCATCCGCCTCACTTCATCATCTTCAAATGGAGGGCCACCTAAACCAGCCTACTTTGGAGGAGGCGATGAAGTCTCCGCCTTGTCAGGCTCATCGTCAGAGGACAAAACAACCCATTCCTGTTCCAGCAACCCACGGATGCGCCTCAGAGCCACCCTCGCCGCCTTCCTTGTAGCCCGGATCTTCGGGGGAGGCCTAGCCCTCTTAGATCTGGGCTTTTCGGTGGGCACAGAACTACCCTCACCGCTTTCACAGGGTTGATCTACAGCCAAAGCACTGAAATCTAGCGATTTCTTCCCACGAGACTCACCCTGACCCTCAGCCCTCTCCAGGCGCCTCTCCTCCTTGACGCTTTCAAGAACCTTACCCAAAGCTTTGTATGTGGTCGAACTACAGTAAGGACCAGCCTCACTAGATTCATAAAATTGGCGAGGAAAGGGAGATCCGGTCTCAATGGACTGAAATGAGGGAGATAATCAACTTTCCCTCACCCTCGTCATTAGTGGCAATATACGCATCATGGAGGGGGTCAAGGTTAACCATGGTGTTATGGGACTCGATTTTTCAAAGATCTGATGTACGAAGTTCAGATCTGGAGACCAAAAGTTTGGAGAAGATGAAGGACGAAGAGGAGAGAGGAATACGAAGAACATGAACAACTAGGGTTCATCTGGAAAACTCTGAAGAACAGGAGGGTAATACCAACCATCACATTAATTGTGGGTGGTTGGGAAGATGGAGTGATTGTGAGTAGTTGGGGTGGGAAATGGGATAATAAATGGAGGGAGTAGTTAAGTTAAGGTAATGTGATTAGTTTTAGTTTAATGTCAATAAACAAACATAAGGGTAAAATTTTAAAAAAAAATTGTTAAGTAAGGGTAAATATGTAATTTCATGGCTTTTTGTTTACTACAAATAGAAAGAAAATAGATAGTTGCACATAACCCTGATCATCCCAAAATGACAAAAGTTGCATATAACATTTAACGTAGGTAGTATTAAAAAAAAAAAAAAAGGAGAGGAGACAAACCGAGAGTATCCGAATCCGAGCATTGCATTCTTTTTTAACCGTTGACTAGATCCTCACATATAATACTCGTATTTAGCATTCTTGACCCATCCACCCACCCACCCAAAAGAATCCAAATACACTATTACAAAAAACAAAAAATCATTACATTCCAACCAAATCAAGTAATCAACTATAAGATGCGTACCTTACAAAACTGTGTTCCCTCTTTCCCTCCCACCCTCCTTCCCGTTGACTCTCTCCACCACCTTCTTCTTATTTTTCTCCATCCTCCCCACCTCCTCCCTCACAATTCCCAACACCATTCCACCACCAACCCCGTGGTCATATTGTTAAAAAAAAAAAAAAAAAAAAGAATTCAACAGAGTCTGACCACATACAAGCCCAACGACGTTATTCCATCAACTAATAAACAACACAAAACATGCCTTTATTGGTAGACTGCTCAAATTGTAAGACACCCCTCCAACTCCCGCCTGGCGCTAATTCAATCCGCTGTGCCATTTGCCACGCAATCACTCGCATCCACCATGATCCTCGCTCGCTCCCACCCGGTCCGCCTCCGCCTCATTCCTTCTACCCTCCGCCGCCACCTCCGCCACACCGCGCCCCTGTTGTGCCACCTTCTTCTTACCACGGAGCTCTTACGCCGCCGCCTATTGCTGGGCGGAAGAAGGCGGTGATTATTGGGATTACATACAGGAAGTCAAGATATGAGCTAAAGGGTTGTATTAATGATGCTAAGTGTATGAAGTTTTTGCTTATGAATCGGTTTAAATTCCCAGAAACTGAGATTCTTATGCTTACTGGTATCACTCTTTTTCCCTCAATTTATTCTTTTTTTATTGCAATTTTGTTTTGGGTGTTTTCTATTTTTGGTAATTTTGTATATTGTTGGTTTTTTTCGTTTAATTATGGTTGATTTAATGCTCTTTTTGGGGGTTTATTTGGGTATGATCTTTCATTTGGGCATTTTTACTTAATCATTGATAATTCGGATTTGATTGATTGTGGAGTAGCTGTTGTAATTGAAAATTTTCAAGGAAGAAATCAAAAACTGATTGTTGGAAAAATAAAATCAAAAGTTTCTTTTTTTTTTAGTAACGTGTTAGAAATGTGAGTTGATCAAGGTGTAGGATATTATAAAATTGGGTTTGCCTAGTCAAGATCTTTCAACAATGTAAACAATTAGCTATCTTTAGAATATGATTACAACAGATTAAACAACAGAGGTTTTGTTCTTTTAACCTGATTTGCTGGTTTCAGAACTTATCTGAACAAATAGGGCATTAACTTGTTAATTATGGAATTTTATAAGTTCAATTGAAGTAAATACTACCTCCGTTACATATTGTGTGCAATATTTATTAAAAACACTTGCTACATAACATTATGTGCAACAAATGTTTTTTTTTTTTTTTAAGTTGTCATTTCTCTCTATCTCTCTCCTCATCACATGTGTGATGCTGATGCATCTCTGTCTCTCTCTCCATTTAACAATCACAAACAAATTTTGTCTATGAGTTCATGTCAAGGCATTTGCTGCACATAATATGAGTATTATAATTCATTTCTCCAAGAATCTCTTGTGGAGTCAAGAATAGGCATATGTATCTATTAGCAAAGGATAAGGAATGCATCTTTATAGTTAGGATTCTTGGTACCTGCTGTAACCTTTTCGTTTTGATTACTTTTAATCACAATTTAATAAAGCTGACCACCACCTTATTTCTCTATGATAAAGAGGCAGTAGGCTAAAAAATCGGATAATTTACCCAAAATCGATATTTTGCCATTTTATACTAAGTGCTATTCTGCTAACAATTCCAATCTAATTCCCCATTGAAAGCTACTTTGCAGAAGAAGAGAGGGATCCGCACAGAATCCCTACCAAAGAAAATATCAGAATGGCAATGGCTTGGCTTGTAGCAGGATGTCGTGCAGGTGACTCACTAGTATTTCACTTTTCTGGGCATGGTTCACAACAGCGGAACTACAATGGAGATGAAGTGGATGGCTATGATGAGACCCTCTGTCCCCTGGACTTTGTAACCAAAGGGATGATCGTAGATGATGAGATTAATGACACAATTGTTAAGCCTCTTCCTCCTGGTGCTAAGCTCCATGCTATTATTGATGCTTGCCATAGTGGCACTATGTTGGACCTACCATTTCTTTGCAGGATGAATGGGTTAGCCTTTCTGCTCTTGGTAGCCACTTTTAAGTTATTTTACCATCCATTTGTTTCGATTTTCAGAGATTCCACCCGCAACTTGAAAAGCATTACAGTAATTTGCCATGGCTGCATTTAAGTATATCAAATATCATTGTATTCTTACCAATAATAATTGTCCTGATTAACTGGACATTAAGATATTGGATATTTTAATGCAAGGGGTATTTAGTATTATCCTGTACAAAAGATTGTAGATTGTAAACTGTAACATTATAGGTGGTTCTTATAAAAATATTGAACAAGTGTGTGGTATAAATGAGGTAATGGGGCCTTATGAGTTATGGCATCTAAAACGATAGCCAATTGCAAATAAGCAGTTTATCTAACAGGTTAATTATGGCAGGAGTGGGCAGTACGTGTGGGAGGACCATCGCCCTAGGTCAGGTAGATGGAAAGGTACTAGTGGTGGAGAGGTTTTCTCCTTCAGTGGCTGTGACGATGATCAAACATCTGCTGATACTTCGGTAAGAAGCATTGATCTCCCTGTCCTCACATACTTTAATCTGTTTCAAAGTTCCTAGCGTTATAATACCGCATATAGGAGGTAAGAAAGTAATATTTCTGACTGGAATTACTAAATTTTGGGGTGTGCTGTGTGCAGGCATTATCAAAGGTGACTTCAACTGGAGCTATGACTTACTGTTTCATTCAGGCAATTGAGAGAGGGCATGCAGGTACTTATGGGAACATGCTTAACGCTATGCGGGCTGCAATCCGCAATACTGATACTTCTTCTGGAGGTGGTGTTGTTACATCTCTCCTTACCATGCTTTTGACTGGAGGAAGTGGTGCTGGATTGAGACAGGTACTAGTTTTCTTTACAAGATAAAAGACAAATTAATAAAAAAATGCCTACTGTTTCAGGAATTCCAAACTATTATCCACTTACTATGGTAGTATCTCTGTGTTGCTTCCCCATACTACCTTTTGATTGCTAGCATAACGTGTTCAGAAGCAATATATTTACCAATTAGGACTTTTCTGACAGGAGTAATTCATTTTTCCTTGTCTCCCTTTGGTTTTATGAACTTGCTCAAAAACTAATCCTAATATTTAGGCTACAATCACCTTAAATTCAGGTTGGGTTTGAAGTTCTTAATTTTTAAGGTTTTTCTTGCCATGATATATAATTCTAGAAATAGAACTTACACTACCTTCACTAATGCAAAATATGTTAAATTAGCCCACTCATGAAAGTATGAAACTTAAGAAGAAAGCCAAACATGCTTCCTATGGAAATTTATTATGCTTTATTGAACTCGTTGTCAATATACTAAATAGGACTGTAGGAATCCTAAGAACATTAAGGAAATAAACTTAAATTAGAACTAAATAAAGAAAAAACCTTTCGAGATCTGATTCCTTCTCAAACTACCATACATAAGCGAAGTAAGTCAGGAAAACAAGATCCTAAAAAAATTCCGCACAAACGTGTAAAGTCTGGTGTTTGGACTCCTGGAGGTCCATACAGCCCATGTATATGCAGGGCTTGCTGCAGGTGAAGTTAGGCTATTTTAGCCGATGATACTTGACATACTTCTGTGCCAGGTCATGTTGCCGTTTTTCTTTTCTTGATCCAGCTTGCATGCGGATTTGACCTTCTTAGTTACCAAGTGTTTTCATTTGAACCCATTTACCAAGCCCATGCAAAACACATATCAAATCAATCCAGTATTACCACCCAACCTTCGTTGTATATATGAACACGTATTACTGGCTTTACTGCCAATATAAAGCTCATAGGAAACCAAAGTAAAATTACGTTTCATTAGCTTAGCTAGCCACAAAACGTAAAAGTTCCTCAGGAGACTTATGTACGAAGTCTTCATGTACAATTATAGGCTCAATGTGACCGCATCATATTCATCCTCCCCTTCTTGGAATCAGATTTGGCCACAGATTTGAGCCGAAAATCATTCATAAATCTCATGCAAAATTATAGTCGTTCACTCAATTGTTTCATCACATGTCTATTGTTGTTAACAAGCAGGAAAATGGAACCATGTTGCTGTGTGTCACAATAACAGTCAAATTACACATGATAATCGCATTTACCTCTTTCAAATTCTTGTTCCCACATATTAGCTCTTCTTGCTCTCTTTTTTCACATGTCAGCATGCAAGAACGAACTGTTTATTCTTATCTTTGCACCTTGTAGATTCAGCCTACTAGGATCCATTGGCCTAAGATTGATCTATTTTTACTTGTGTTGGAAAGAGTAGGTATTCGCATGCCCTTTATTGTTGAAATATCGTGGTCTTCCAATAAGTAAGTTGCATGCATCCATTGGTGTGACTGCAAAAAATTAGTATACTCCTACTCTCCAATCTCAGAAATAATGATCTCTACTCTGCTATCTCCATTTAACCATCAAAGCCATACTTTATAATAGTACATATGAGTCAATGTAGAAAATTTTGTACTATAAAAACAAATACATAAATAAAAGCTAAATAGACCATGTTAGTACAAGAACCAATTTTTATGACTGAATTCGTGTCTCCAACTTTACACTTCAATTGAGAAAATGCTCTTATTGGTTTTCCATGTATAACTTTAAATTGGCGTAATGTAATTGTCAATACGCCATGGAACCCAAGCCCGATCTTTCTGAAGTTTTTCCTCCCCCTTTTCCCTGTCTTCCTCTTTTCATACATGATAATGCCGACCATTCATAGTCATCACTTTTTTTTTTCCCTTGGCACTTGATAATTTTCTAAGCCTTGTTGCCTTGATTCTCCCTTAGAATCATTTTCATTCGATTGTTGTTGAACCTCAGTCTTATTTTAACAATTGAAGGCATCAAAACTACAGATAAATCTAGCATTTTTCATCGTCCTTTTATTGCAAATCACATAGTATTGTTAGTTTCTTCATTGTTAGTTTGTTCGAAAGCCCTCAGTAACAGTGCAGCACTAAGGATTTCTTATTGCAACCTATTCAATTTCAAAAATTGCTCTTGAGTAAACTCTTTAGGCAAACATACCTCTTCGTATACACTGGTTCCTGAATTTATCTCTATTGTTAATCTTAGGTCTGTTATCTGTATACTGCAATCACTGAAGGTGAGCAATGCATAATTTTTTGAGTTTGGTCGCCACATTGTAGCTGTAAATCTGTAATGTTGACCATACTGCCTCATTGGAAAAGGATTAATGTTGATGACACAATCAAGAAAGTTATTTGGCTCCATCATTCATGCAAATTCTAGAAGATCCAGTTTATGCCATCTATCATCATCAATTCAATTCAGAGCTCTAAAATATGGGTGAACTTTGGCACATATATATTAGAGCCTCTAGATTCTGTTATTAATCTGCACTTGATTATCATACCTGGGTTATTTGCATTGATGTGACCTGTGATGATTGCTAAATATAGTAATTTGTTCTTTCAAATTCTTTAAAGTACTATTCCCATGTTACAGTGAATTATGTTATCATAGATTAGTATTTCTAGCATTAACCCTTTTTACTTTCTTGCAGGAACCACAGTTGTCGTCAAATGAAGGATTTGATGTATACAGGAAGCCATTTTCACTATAATAAAGTATGAAGTGTCTGTACCATTGTTAATAAGCATTGCCTGTAATGTTATTGTTGTAATAAGTTATGTTGTAATATATTAGTAGCTAAATTTTTTTCGCAGTGCATTGGAAATTTGGAATTAAATGGATGTACAATGCATTATTAATGGATGACCAGCCATGGTTCGATTAGCTTACGTATTTGTCAGGAAAGATGCCTAAAAATAGTTTCTGTACTTTTGAGACAGAAATGTCAAGCTCCTACAAGCAGAGGCCAAGATATAAGATGAAGGGTGGTAAAAAAGAACCAAGGATGTTTATACGAAAAACAGTTTCAACGGTTTTCTCACTTTCTGCTTATCCCAATACACCTTCAGGATCACTAAAAACAGCAGTTGATGTGGTTTCCTTGATGAACTACACGAGCGTCATAAACGAATTCTGAATATGGCAATCGGAGTACAATCTAACAACCAAAACTTAAAATACCATATAGTTTACAATCACTTCATTTATAATGACTACAAGGGCTTCATTTGTAACAGTTCTTTGATTGCTGTAAAATTTTGTATTCTGAAATCATGAAATAAATTTCTTTCCAACTTCAAATAATATCCACCTGACTATCAATATGGCCTGTACCGCATTGGAGGCCTGAGTCTAGGAGCCCTTCTACAAAATGAAAAAGTAATGAAATTAATGAAGTGTGAACTAATAATTAGTAGGGGAAAAAAACCAAATCAGCAGTAGGGAAACAAAAAAAATACTTCATAGAACCCACCACAAAAGGCACATAGCGACTACATGCAATCTATTACCCTGCATCTAATAACACTTTGAAATATTCAACTACAAGTCTACGGCAAATCTTGAACTGATAACTTTCCAAAAAAAATTACAAATTTCACATTTCCAAAATTGCAACATATTGGATAAGCAGTTGCAACACATGGGTTAACTTTCTGAATTGCTGACCAAAGATGGGTATGATAAAGGGATGGAAACAACGCTAAAGGATCTGTTCTCAACTTTTTTATAAAAGTTACAGTAAAAATAAGTTAAGTTCAGCAAAAATTAAGCCAATTCAAGCATAAGTTCAGCAAAAATAAGCTCGAGAGAACAAAGCCCAAGTCCCACTTGAATTTATGAAATTAGATCTTGTTCATCTACTGAAACCTCATTTTTTTTAACTCCGGCGTTTTCTACACAGTTAATATCTCTCATTTTAGCTACCCTGATGAACAATTGAAGTTCTTTATTGGCCATTTTAGTCAAATATATCTATTGAACTTCTCTGCCTACTTGAACAATTGAGTTACTTAAGTATAATACTACAACCGAATATTCCTCCTCAATAAAGCTTTAAGTCTAGTGAAGAAATTAAGGTACGTGAATAGCTAGCTGCTTTTGAGATCTCTTAAAATTTGTTAATCTGGTCAATTAGAAAGGAGAACATGCCCATGGGTTGTTAGGAATATGAGATCTCAATTGCAATCCAATTAAGGAGGGTGATTTTTATATTTACATAAAATCCAAGTATATTACTAGAACAGAAGATAGCCTACCCATATCCTCCATATGCAGGAAAAACAGGTGCTCCCGGCATGAATGGCCTCCTTGATCTGTTTCCATAAGGACTCGGTCGCCTTCCTCGAAACTGTTTCATCCCAGGAACGTTTGTCCTCTTAGCAGATACCTATTCATAAATTGCAAATAGGTTTTTACAATACAGCATTTGCAAATACAATTAAAATAATAAGGTGAACATAACAATTGATACCTTCAACTGACGGCCATGCAATTCAGTTTCATTCAGCAAGACAGCATGCTGAACAGCTTCCATTTCCACGAACTCTACATAAGCGAATCCCTTAGGTTGACCAAATCTGTCTGTCAAAATGGTCACTCTGTTCACTGTCCCGCATGATTGAAAATGCTGCTGAACCTCCTCTGGGGTACATGCATAGTCAACCTAAACACAAATGAACAAGGGGAAGAGTAAATTCCTCAAGCATTCAGAGATAGATAGCAATATTACAAAAACCAAACGACAAGATTCATATCTATTGCGGACTTCTATTATGATGTAATCTATTTCAATTGAATAACTCACATTCCCAAATTAGTTTGTTAATTTAGACAGTAAAGTTTCTTGAAGCAGCTGAATGTCTTATCTAACTGCCATTCCATTCTTGTTTATTGTTAAACTAAACTAACCTCTCTTTATGAAAGAGCAGGCTGCAACCACTGCATAAATCAACTCTTAAATGAGCCTCCTAATAAGAACTAGGATGGAGTAAGATCGGCTTATATATTGGTTTGGTTTCTGAACGTTAGAATGCTATAGAAGCAATTAGTTCAAGAAGCTACGTGCCTACATGATGGTCAAACATGAAACATAGAAACCTAGGTTTTTTATTCTATGGAGAGATGTTTTGGTGCACCCATACTTTGGCATGTAGACAATGTAGTTGGACAATCCTATAACAATCATCCACAGCAAAGCATGAGAAACGAAGAAACCTTTTCCCCTTTTTCTCGTTCAGAGAGATGGCAATTGCTCACTTTTTATTAGGTTCGGATCGGGTCAACTCACTCAAGTGTCAATTCAGCCAAATTCATGTGATTAGTCATTCGGTTCACATTCCAGTGTACTGCCAATAGTTGATATGATATATAAATAGTATTAGTCATTTACAGCAAAATTCAAACAACATTGAATCAATTTGATTAGGTAGGAACAAAGTTTGGATCATGTCCATATTGGGTTATCTAATTTTAAATTATGGATATAATTTAAGGCAGGTAACTCGGAATGGGTGTGGTCAAAAGTGCCAGGTCTACACTCCTAGAGCCCGAAACACTATCAAATCCACTTCAGTTGCTGGCTTGCTGCATGCACTATGTACAGATTATCCATTATCTTAATCATCAATGACTTTAAAATGACTTGTCCTCCATTTATGAAGCTGGATCTCTGCTGTGCTTTGCCACAAATAATATCCTTTGGAATCACAGTGTCTATAAACTTGTTTTCAGAGATAGAACACAAACACATTATAGACTCTAGATCGGGATAAGTTCCAGCAACAATCACACAACATTTGTCGTATCCACATCCCACAACCAATCGTAACCAACTTATGCCACAACTAAAGTAGACGAATTTGTAAAAAATGTATATGGAAACAGAAGATTTTTCCAAATCCGCCCCATTATTGGTCATTACCTTAAGAGCTAATGGTTACAAAAAGTGACTTCAAAGCTGCAGAGCAGCAGGGCCACAACAGCACTTTAGCCTAAACCACTAAAAATCACATCTTCAGGAAGATAGACGGGAGAAAACACAAAATCTAATAGTTGGAAGCACTAAGTTGTATATGATGATGAAATGTCCCATATACTATGTTAGATTGGACGACATAAGTCAAATTTGGAAGGATCATCAGAATGTATCACTAACATAAGAAATTTCGCTAACAAAAGTAATTAATATCTTTCCCAAAACCACAAATGGAAAATCTATCACACAATCCATGGTCCTTACCACACAACACAAGGTATCCAACCTCGGAACCAAATGACAGGAAAAGTAGTCCCATTAACAAACCAAACTCCTTCACATCAATGGTAACAGATAGTACTCACAAGTCATAGTATCATAGGAAAACACCCATACATCATTTATATACTTCGTGTTTCAAATTATTGTCACATTCTCCAATCCTAAAAATAAAGAGTCCATCACCATTTCACCAAAATATTCATGCCTAAAATTTCTTCCTAACCTTCTAGGGCTTCTATCACATAGCTGACGTGAAAGTATGTTAGGAAATCCAGCCAGAATATATTTTTATTCTACAAAAAATGTGACAGTATATTCTAAATATCCCTAAACAATGATGTGACTATCATTTGCAGATGGAGGAGTCAAAAAATGAAAATGTTAAAATATACTGATGCTTGAAAGAGACGGAGAGATAATCCCAGCAGCGATCTATTGTATGCATAGCTCAATGAACCCAATGACCTTTGAGAGATTAAGAGCAATCTACCATTAAGTGCAATTATGTAAAATGAGAGATACATACTTATACTAACAGTTAACTACAAAGATTTTTTTATAAACATGCAACAAAATTCACATACGTTATTTGAAAAGCCATCCAAGGCATGCGCACAACAACATATTTTAATTTAAATAATCTTCAATAGCATGAGCGATAAGAATACCAAGAAGACAGAAATTGCCTCACATTGCCAACATATATTGAACGGGCATCAACCTCCTCCTTTTCAGCTTGAGTCGGGTTAGCACTGGTAGATTCTTCATATAGAAAAATATAGATAATTAATAAATAAGATTCAAAACATTCACCAATTTCATTTAAAAAAGATCACCAACATGTCAATATAGAAGAAGATAGAAATCATGGAATGAATTTCAAGTATTACAAAAGCTTTGTATTAATGATTTTCAAGTGTTACAGATGCCAAAATAAAGCTTCTTAAAGCAACTGCATTTCAATTCCAAAACTTGCAATAATTAGGGGGTATTAAATGGTAGATTAAGGGTTGTGGAGTCATAAAATTTAGCAGAAAATTAGTTAACATGTAAATAAGATTGTGAGATTCAAGCATTACGCCATATTCCAAAGAAAATTCAAAGATTACGCACAACCAATGAACCCGCCAACTTAGTTAGGGTATTAGGTGCATAATTTATTCTTCCCGTTTCCAGCCGCACCAAAACCACACCGACCCAAAATTCAACCATAGTAAGTACTGCTAGAATAGTAGTGTTGCTTGGGATAAAGAAGGGGGTCTATTATGATCAGTTCTGTCCATATATAGTCAAGAACTCAAGATATTTACGATAGTTAACAGCTTTATCACAGAAAATAATAATGTCATACTCCCTCCCTTTTTTTAAGATTTCGATAGAACAAGTTCACTTTATTAAGTCTTAGGCAAAAAAATTGCACATGGGTTAATTGGATAATAGGGACTATTGAGTTTGTGGAAGGAAAAACTTACGGTATTAGGCAATCTCAAAGGGACACCCCAAAGGGGAATATGGGGCAATCGGAAAGGGATGGAGGGAATACTAATTAAAGTTCTAGGAGTGGTTTGTAGATTGTGCAGATAAGGTAAGGCCAAGAGGGAACATAAAGCTATAAATAATACATACAAAGTA